AGATAGTTCAACTAGATTTCATTGTCCGACAAATTATTTAAGCTAAATTTTCTTACCACCATTCAGGTTATGAAAAATTGTAACGTGTCTAGCCATTAGTGATTTGGTCTATGCACGAAGGAATATTATGATGACAACATTACAAGATACACTAGGGCTGGACATTGTCCCATTCAGTTCGGTTCTCTTTAGAATGGAGCCAAACCCTAAATTTTCGGGTATTTAGTAAATGGAATTGTCGGGTATAAATTTAATTATGGAACTTTTTGGGTTCGACTCCATTTGGTTCAGTTTGGCTCGATTTGATTCTGGATTTCCGTACAATAATTTTTTTTATATATTACAACGCTACATTTATTCGACTATGACATATTCGATCTTAAATCTTACAAAATAATGTAGTCCAATCTCATGATATCTTTTGCGCCTCTCTTTGTTGAGTTGTTCATAGATTTGATTGTTAAAATCACAGGAAGCGGAAAATGACTAGTTCACAATAATAGAACAGTATAAATGACACACTGGTAGAATAAGAGATTTGGGTAAAACTGAAGTCAATTTAATTAGGCTTGGCTAGAAATTAAAAATAGTAAAATCATATTTTGGGTTTGGACTAAATTAATTAGTTAGAAATTTATTTAAAAAATAAAATAATTTGATTTATTTAAGATTAAAATTTTAAAAAAAATTAGAAAGATTCGATTCTTCGATTTTTGGTCTAGAACTGAGAACTGAACCAAACCTATCAGTTCTCAATTCACATATATGTTCGGGTATTTAACTTAAGAAGAACCGCTCATTTCGGTTTAGTACCATGTAGATCTGGTTCTGTTCGATTTGGTTTGGGAGTTTTGTCCAGCGCTAAGATACACGAGTCTCATATTTAAGAGCTTAATTGTTCACGTAGTCAGATTCATTAATTATTAATTTTTATTTAGACCCGTTTGATGGTCATTATTGATATAAAAATGATGTTTTGAATAGTGCATTTTTAAAGAATATGTGATTAAGAGGTAGGGAAAAGTTTTAAGCTTACGTGCAAAATATTTTATTATGTGAATATGTGGTTGAAAATAAATATATGAATTTAAAAAAATTATTGTAAAGGGAGACAAATAGGGACTTAGATGGCTTCAACCACAAATACAATAATCCCAAAGGAAAACAACAAACAGTAGCAGAAAATCTCCGGCTATCAAAACAACAATATATTAATCTTGACAGACAGACGGAGAGAAACTTACGAATATATACAGTGTAGAAAGTGGCAGTTCTGGCTATGGCAGTGGCCACGGAAATTAGGCTACTGGTAATAAGCGCTGCTATGATGATACGTTCAATCGCCATTCTTAATAAAATTAAGCTCTAAACTTTAGCTTTTAGTTTCTATTCTAAGTGCAATTATGCATGCAACATGGATATATATCTTTCGTAAATAGGAATAATGCCCTATATATAGGAAGGATTCTGAAGCCACCACAGCACCAGATAACGTTGTTAATACGTCTGTTATTTTGCAATGATATCTTCTAAGAAGTCATTTTTGAATTATACATGTATTGACTTCCTTTTTCATTTAGGAATTCAACTTCCGACTAATATAAAATTTTATTTAGTGCCGTATGATTCTCATTAATTGAGAAAAAATGAATTTTGAATAGTATTTT